CTCACAACCGCAGACCACGTGTAACCACGCCAGCCCAGTACCTCCACATCCGGCTTCTTCACCTGCGGGTTCGTCTGAGACCAGCCACCCAGACAGCTGATGGAACTGAGGAGTATTTCTGTCTGTAATAAAGCCCCTTTGTGGGGAAAAACTCATTCTGATTGGCTGGGCCTGGCTCCCCAGTGGGTGTGCCTGGCTCCCAAGTGGGTGGGCCTATGCCCTCCGAAGCCTATCCTGCCCAGTTATGTGAAATCCATAGATTAGGGCCTAATGAATTTATTTCAATTGACTGATTTCCTTATATGAACTGTAACTCAGTAAAATCGTTGAAATTGTTGCATGTTGCGTTTATATTTTTGTTCAGTATAATACCAATGTTCTCAGTGTTTTACAATGATAGGTACATTAAGTAAGAAAATAGAAAAAAATATGCACTCCAACCCGTTTTCTTTTACAATTAGGTTTTAATTGAATAATTTAATTGGCTTTGCATTATCCATTAAAATAAAAAGCCCAGGACACATTTCTTCACCTGGGCCATAGAAAGACTTCTACAGAGGTCAAAGGTTTTCCAATCATCCCTTTAAGAGAAATACCTGTTTAATCAAAAGCTGAAATGAAAAAAAATCTAATCTTCTTACTTTTTTCTGGTACAGAAATTAATAAATATGGATGACTTTGTTCTACTGTATCTCAAGGAAGTACTGTCATATTAAAAAGAACTTAATATAAAAATAGATGTGTTGATTTGTGTGTATATTTAGCTGTTACCTAATATAGTTTGTTGAAGGTTTGTACCTTTGATACATGTGTACAGCTAGTGCATTCTCTGTTTTAATGGGGTCAGATTGGGTAACGTTAAGACTTAACAAAATCCTTCCGGAAAAAAAAAGAAAAAGGCATGATGGAACTTTGCATTCTGATGATGCAGCATAGAAGCTGATTATGCTTTACCATGGATACCACTGAAACATTGTAAGTAGGTACAAAGGTGTCACAAATGGGATACCAGAGCCTTCCCAGAAGGCAATGAACATAAAGTCTAGGATTGGGACGAAAAGTTTTCATTCATCTCCCCAAAAATCTCTCGTCTTAAAAAAAATCAAAAAGCAACACATTATGTAGAATTATTTAGAGCAAAGCATACCCCAGGGATAACAGGACCACTAGGAAAATATCAGTCATTGTAGCCAGCTGAATGACCATCTCATAGTTTTCTTCTTGCTTTGAATTGTGCTAGTCTTACAGTAATATACCTCCTACCTCCTATTTCAAGAGCAGTGATTTTGGTATAAGAGGAAATAGAGAAAAATAGTATCTTAGGGGACATGAACTCCACATTTCAATGAGGATACATTTTATGACACAGCATAATAGATTGTGTGCTGTTTCGTAGAGCAGTGCATTATGGGTAGGAATAAATTCAAGGTACACATTTCAAATGCTACGATTCATGCCAAAGATTACAATTTGTATGTCATGCACCTTAGTTTTCTTAGTTTTCTTGCTTTACCTAGATACTGATAAATGACTACTCAATCTATTGTAACTAAGACAAAAACAAATCTGTACATACTAAAAGATGACATTTATTTGGTTTGAATTTATTGTGTTTGAAGTTGAACCTAGATTATTTACATTCAAGACACTTTTTACCTTTCCCAATTATGACTACTTTTGTGACTTCCAATCCAAAGCATCATTATTCAATTAGCATTTCAAATTGAGTTTCGGTAGCTACCCACTTGGCACACACTGGTTGAATCAACGTTGTTCCACGTCATTTCAATGACGTTGAATTGACGTCTGTGCACAGTGGGTATAGGCTTCCATATGAACAACACTCCTTACAAATAATTTTGTCCATATCATTCTTAATATAATGTTGTACCAAACCAAACTTAACTCAGCTGCTCAGCTACCTCTTGAGTTATCTAACTTTGGAGAGCACTCCAGTAAATGAAGGATGAAAGATGTCTATGCAACTCAAACTCAAAACATCACTGTCAGAGAGATGAGTGTGGTGCCGTTATCTAACAGGTGCACCACAAAATAATGGAGAGTCATTAGACTCGAGAAGTGGTTTCCACAAATTAAACTGAGCTTTGTGCCAATCGTCAATTATGTTGACTAAATAATAGGAAGGTGCATTTCAGTTTTATTGCTTTTCGTATTGGTTGTCCACCTGATCATGTAAACCTATTGCTTTTTAGGTGTGATGGAATCAAATCAATGAATGACTTCTTTCAACATATCACAGATAGTTTCTTGTGTTTATAGTGTTTTTTAAAAAGCTTGCCCATATGTATGTGTCTAAAAGAATTGGATGAATAATTTTAACATATAAGTGAATGTCCTGTCCAACCTGCATATCCTGTGTAGGTCATTATGAACATATTGCTGACAGTTTTTGTGCAAAGCAAAACTTAACTCACATCCATTTACCTGGTAAAGTCCCATTCTTTCTGCATGCACCTCATACTATTTGAACTTTGCTATCAAAAGGGATTTGATAAAATACAATAACTGCTCTTTACTTTAAAGATACACTTTATATACAAAAGTATATGGACACCCCTTCAAATTAGTGGATTCGGCTATTTCAGCACCTGTAGCTGAAAGTGTTTCAAATCGAGCACACAGCCATGCAATCTCCATAGACAATCATTGGCAGTAGAATGGCCTTACTGAAGAGCTCAGTGACTTTCAACATGGCACCGTCATAAGATGCCACCTTTCCAATAAGTCAGTTTATCAAATTTCTTCCCTGCTTGAGCTGCCCCGGTCAACTGTAAGTGCAATTATTGTGTAGTGGAAACGTCTAGGAGCAACAACGGCTCAGCCGCGAAGTGGTAGGCCACAAAAGCTCACAGTACGGGACCGGCGAGTGCTGAAGTGCGTAGCACGTAACAATCGTCTGTCCTCGGATGCAACACTCACTACTGAGTTCCAAACTGCCTCTGGAAGCAACATCAGCACAAGTCCATGGCTGGGAAGCCGCACATAAGCCTAAGATCACCATGCGCAATGCGAAGCGTAGGCTGGAGGGGTGTATAGCTCGCCGCCATTGGACTCTGGAGCAGTGGAAACACATTCTCTGGAGTGATGAATCACACTTCACCATCTGGCAGTTTGACGGACGAATCTGGGTTTGGCGGATGCCAGGAGAACGCTACCTGCCCGAATGCAGAGTGGCAACTGTAAAGTTTGGTGGAGGAGGAATAATGGTCTGGGGCTGTTTTTCATGGTTCTGGCAAGGCCCCTTAGTTCCAGTGAATGGAAATCTTAATGCTACAGCATGCAATGACATTCTAGATGATTCTGTGCTTCCAACTTTGTGGCAACAGTTTGGGGTAGGCCCTTTCCTTTCAGCATGACAAAGCGAGGTCCATACAGAAATGGTTTGTCAAGATCGGTGTGGAAGAACTTGACTGGCCTGCACAGAGCCGTGACCTCAACCTCTGTAGCTCAGCTGGTAGAGCACGGCGCTTGTAACGCCAAGGTAGTGGGTTCGATCCCCGGGACCACCCATTTTTGTGTATGGGACCACCCATACACAAAAATGTATGCACGCATGACTGTAAGTCGCTTTGGATAAAAGCGTCTGCTAAATGGCATATTATTATATTATTATTATATTATTATATTATTATTATATTATTATTATATTATATTATTATTATAAAACCCCATCAAACACCTTTGGGATGAATTGGAATGAGCCAAGCCTAATCGCCCAACATCAGTGCCCGAACTCACTAATGTTCTTGTGGCTGAATGGAAGCAAGTCCCTGCAGCAATGTTCCAACACCTAGTGGAAAGCCTTCCCAGAAGAGTGGAGGCTGTTATAGCAGCAAAGGAGAGACCAACTCCATATTAATGGCCATGATTTTGGAATGAGATGTTCGACGAGCAGGTGTCCACATACTTTTGGTAATGTAGTGTAATAGAGGATGAACACTTTTTACATGTGAAGGCCCTCAATTCTCATTGAGTTCAGACACACTGTCATCAAACCCGTTCTCTTTGTAGAATTATGCAATGATGATTGGATTGCATCATCACGTCTTCTACAGAACTCCATTGAGTTTCTGTCTCCTGATAACATTAATGATATGCATAGATTTGTTGTAAAGAGAATAATACAAAGAAATATGAAATGTAATGATATTTTCCATATCAACAACTTAGTTGTTTCAAACTTCATTGAGGTCAGAATAATCCTGTGTTATTTTAATGTTTTAAGCAAGGGGTATCAAAATGACCAATTCAATTTATTTTCAGTTTAGATAATTTTCTATGGGGGCCTAATTTACTATAGGGCCTACTCTTAAGTTCTGCTGATAGTGCAAATGACATGTATCCATCACAACTGGTTAAAATTAAGTCCAAGTTGTGAAACTAAGTTGTGCTTCAATGGCTCATGGATGGTTAGATTATTTAGCATGGCTCATTGATTCTGAATGCTGCAGTGCACTTTTACAGGAATCTTCAATGTGTCATCAAACTCAGTTCCAGCTATTGTAAATTCCAGCAATGTGGGAAGCTTATATGTAGCTTTAAACTGTAATACTACCATTTGTGCCCAATAGCTAGTTGAAATAGCTAAAATATTTTTTTAAATATTTTTTTTTTTATGATACTCCACATGAAACATAACTTATCTAAGCAATAATATTTACACCTAGGATCTGATTATTAGGTCTTGTCATTATACCTGTTCAATGCATCATTAAACACTCTCAACTCAAATGAAAAATTAAGATTCAAGTTTCCATGAAGGAATAATGTCCTTCCCTGGCCTCCCACAGTTTTGCATGCTGCATACGTTTTCTTGCACCGACTTTTTCCAGTGTCCCGCTTTCCCTTTCACTGTACCCTCATTTACTTTACATCCTATTACTGTAGTCAGCTTTTCCTATGGCACTGTGCATTGTTCTGCATTTTTACCCTTGGAAGGAAAGAACACGTATTGAAGTTGACCCCAGGTAGGGCAGAGGTCATATCTCCGACTCCCTGCGGTACGACCTTTGGTCCAGTCCCCTGGTGGTCTGTAGCCTCTCGAACTCGTGTCTACTGGTCCGTTCCGGACTGTTCAGGTTGGCCAGCGCTCTGAACGTACCACTGCCCACGCCCACCACCTTCTCTTCCTCGTCCTCATCCCGGCTGAGAAAGGCCAGCTCGTTCTCGTAACAGAAGGAGTTGGAGGTGGGCACCAGGAACTTGTTCGCCATCATGTCCTTGGCACTGCAGCGTGGGGTGGACGGTACCTCGTAGGTCTTGTGAAAGTGAGAGTAATCCACCTTGTACAGGTTCTTCTCCTCGAAGAGCACTGGCTCGAACCGGTAACCCCACAGCACTTCCGTGGGCAGGTAGGAGCTGCGGGCCTGCGTGGTCATGGCGGTTGCCTCGACCATCCCTTCTAGTATGACCACGATCTCAAAGTCCGCCGTCTCCAGGTCATTTTTTCCGATCCCATAGAGCGGACTATTCTCATCGATCTCATGGATAATCGTAATGGGTGAAACCAAGAAAATCCTGTCCAGGCCTTTGTCAAAGCCCACATTGATGTCTATTTGGTCCAGGGGGATGTACTCCCCTTCGTCAGTGATCCGGGGTTTGATGAGCTGAGCTCTGACGTGGGCCTCTACGATGTGACTCTTCCTCAGGTTCCCCACCCTCCACATGAGACACAGCTTGCTGTCGCGCATAGTGATCACTGCGTTGTGGCTGAACAGCAGCGTCTGCGCCCGTTTCTTGGGCCTTGCCATCTTGGCCATGATGGCGCCGACCATGAAGCAGTCGATGATGCAGCCAACGATGGACTGGAAAACCACCATGAATACGGCGACTGGACACTCCTCCGTCACGCAGCGGTAGCCGTAGCCAATGGTCGACTGTGTCTCGATGGAGAACAGGAAGGCGGCCACGAAGCCGTTGACCTGCAGGACGCAGGGTGTGAAGTTGTCATCTCCGGCTGGGTTGTCCAGGTCGCCGTGGAGCAACGCTATAACCCAGAAGGCCAGGCCAAAGGCCAGCCAGGACAGCACGAACACCAGCGTGAACAGCACCAGCATGTAGCGCCAACGGATGTCCACGCACGTGGTGAACATGTCGGCCATGTAGCGCGACGACTTGTCCTCCATGTTGGCGAACTGCACGTTGCACTGGCCATTCTTCTTGACAAAGCGGTTGCGGACCTTGCGGCACGTGTGGATCTTGCCGTTGCCGAAGCCGTTCATGCCGCCACCGCTGCTGCTGTGCATATTGGTGAGGCGCAGCGCCTCCTCCTCGGACGACACAATGCTGTAACGGTTGATCCGCCCCACGCTCATGCTGGCCACATAGGCCGGGCTGCAGGGTCGGAGTAGGTTGGCGGTTCCGGAGTCCCAATGTGTGATCACTCAGAGGCCCTTCCCAGCAGTATCACTGCCAGAGCCCCATCTCAGCCGGTCATAGCCAGGGAGAAGGTGGGCTTTTGGGTGTTGTACTCTGGGCAGACCACTCCCTGAGGAAAGAGGAAAGGGATACGGACGTCAGTATATCACAGCATGTCAGTATCAACATACTCCACCATGAAGACTCTGGGAAGCTGCACTACAAAGGCTGCGTTAAGACAGGCAGCCCAATTCTGATCTTTTTTCCGCTAATTGGTCTTTTGACCAATCACATCAGATCTTTTCACATCAGATCTTTTCAGAGCTAATCTGATTGGTCAAAAGACCAATTTGTGAAAACTTTTCACAAGTATGTGGTACATTTGCACAAAAATCAAAACGGATCATCAAAATCGCTATTTTTTCAAAACTCTAAGTACAACAAACAAATTCACAGTCACTTGTCCACTGCACCAAATCACTCTTTCAATTTGGATACATGTTCAATCTAAGTATCTGCTTTTAAAAATGCAATACTCACCTTACTTTTGATTAGATTTTCTTGTCATTTGTTAACAATACAATTTAACTATCACTAAATCAAACTGCTCAAAACTGAAAAGTACTGAACCAAAATTGTGTAGTGCCTAGTTAACATACAGTGGGGGAAAAAAGTATTTAGTCAGCCACCAATTGTGCAAGTTCTCCCACTTAAAAAGATGAGAGAGGCCTGTATTTTTCATCATAGGTACACGTCAACTATGACAGACAAATTGAGGGAAAAAAATCCTGAAAATCACATTGTAGGATTTTTTATGAATTTATTTGCAAATTATGGTGGAAAATAAGTATTTGGTCACCTACAAACAAGCAAGATTTCTGGCTCTCACAGACCTGTAACTTCTTCTTTAAGAGGCTCCTCTGTCCTCCACTTGTTACCTGTATTAATGGCACCTGTTTGAACTTGTTATCAGTATAAAAGACACCTGTCCACAACCTCAAACAGTCACACTCCAAACTCCACTATGGCCAAGATCAAAGAGCTGTCAAAGGACACCAGAAACAAAATTGTAGACCTGCACCAGGCTGGGAAGACTGAATCTGCAATAGGTAAGCAGCTTGGTTTGAAGAAATCAACTGTGGGAGCAATTATTAGGAAAAGGAAGACATACAAGACCACTGATAATCTCCCTCGATCTGGGGCTCCACGCAAGATCTCACCCCGTGGGGTCAAAATGATCACAAGAACGGTGAGCAAAAATACCACACGGGGGGACCTAGTGAATGACCTGCAGAGAGCTGGGACCAAAGTAACAAAGCCTACCATCAGTAACACACTACGACGCCAGGGACTCAAATCCTGCAGTGGCAGACGTGTCCCCCTGCTTAAGCCAGTACATGTCCAGGCCCGTCTGAAGTTTGCTAGAGTGCATTTGGATGATCCAGAAGAGGATTGGGAGAATGTCATATGGTCAGATGAAACCAAAATAGAACTTTTTGGTAAAAACTCAACTCGTCGTGTTTGGAGGACAAAGAATGCTGAGTTGCATCCAAAGAACACCATACCTACTGTGAATCATGGGGGTGGAAACATCATGCTTTGGGGCTCTTTTTCTGCAAAGGGACCAGGACGACTGATCCGTGTAAAGGAACGAATGAATGGGGCCATGTATCGTGAGATTTTGAGTGAAAACCTCCTTCCATCAGCAAGGGCATTGAAGATGAAACGTGGCTGGGTCTTTCAGCATGACAATGATCCCAAACACACCGCCCGGGCAACGAAGGAGTGGCTTCGTAAGAAGCATTTCAAGGTCCTGGAGTGGCCTAGCCAGTCTCCAGATCTCAACCCCATAGAAAATCTTTGGAGGGAGTTGCCCAGCGACAGCCCCAAAACATCACTGCTCTAGAGGAGATCTGCATGGAGGAATGGGCCAAAATACCAGCAACAGTGTGTGAAAACCTTGTGAAGACTTACAGAAAACGTTTGACCTGTGTCATTGCCAACAAAGGGTATATAACAAAGTATTGAGAAACTTTTGTTATTGACCAAATACTTATTTTCCACCATAATTTGCAAATAAATTCATTAAAAATCCTACAATGTGATTTTCTGGATTTTTTTCCCTCATTTTGTCTGTCATAGTTGACGTGTACCTATGATGAAAATTACAGGCCTCTCTCATCTTTTTAAGTGGGAGAACTTGCACAATTGGTGGCTGACTAAATACTTTTTTCCCCCACTGTATATACAGTGGCTTGCGAAAGTATTCACCCCCTTTGGCATTTTCCCTATTTTGTTGCCTTACAACCTGGAATTAAAATTGATTTTTTGGGGGTTTGTATAATTTGATTTACACAACATGCCTACTACTTTGAAGATGCCAAATATTTTTTGGGGTGAAACAAACAAGAAAACAGAAAACTTGAGCATGCGTAACTATTCACCCCCCCCCCCCCCCCCCCCCCCCCCCCACCCACCCCCCCCCCAGAGTCAATACTTTGTAGAGCCACCTTTTGCAGCAATTACAGCTGGAAGTCTATTGGTGTATGTCTCTATAAGCTTGGCACATCTAGCCACTGGGATTTTTGCCCATTCTTCAAGGCAAAACTGCTCCAGCTCCTTCAAGTTGGATGGGTTCCGCTGGTGTACAGCAATCTTTAAGTCATACCACAGATTCTCAATTGGATTGAGGTCTGGGCTTTGACTAGGCCATTCCAAGACATTTAAATGTTTCCCCTTAAACCACTTGAGTGTTGCTTTAGCAGTATGCTTAGTGTCATTGTCCTGCTGGAAGGTGAACCTCTGTCCCAGTCTCAAATCTCTGGAAGACTGAAACAGGTTTCCCTCAAGAATTTCCCTGTATTTAGCGCCATCCATCATTCCTTCAATTCTGACCAGTTTCCCAGTCCCTGCCGATGAAAAACATCCCCACAGCATGATGCTGCCTCCACCATGCTTCACTGTGGGGATGGTGTTCTCGGGGTGATGAGATGTGTTGGGTTTGCGCCAGTCATAGTGTTTTCCTTGATGGCCAAAAAGCCATGGGTTTTTTCTGGCAACTCTTCCGTAAAGCCCAGCTCTGTGGAGTGTATGGCTTAAAGTGGTCCAATGGACAGATACTCCAATCTCCACTGTGGAGCTTTGCAGCTCCTTCAGGGTTATATTTGGTGTCTTTGTTGCCTCTCTGATTAATGCCTTCCTTGCCTGGTCCGTGAGTTTTGATGGGTGTCCCTCTCTTGGCAGGTTTGTTGTGGTGCCATATTCTTTCAATTTTTTAAGAATGCATTTAATGGTGCTCCGTGGGATGTTCAAAGTTTCTGATATTTTTTTTATAACCCAACCCTGATCTGTACTTCTCCACAACTTTGCCGCTTGCTTGGTGGTGCCCCTTGCTTAGTGCTGTTGCAGACTCTGCGGCCTTTCAGAACAGGAGTATATTTACTGAGATCATGTGACACTTAGATTTCACACATGTGGATTTATTTAACTAAATATGTGACTTCTGATGGTAATTGGTTGCACCAGATCTTATTTAGGGGCTTCATAGCAAAGGGGGTGAATACATATGCACGCACCACTTTTCCGTTATTTATGTTTTTGAATATTTTGAAACAAGTACTTTTTTTCATTTCACTTCACCAATTTGGACTATTTTGTGTATGTCCATTACATGAAATGTAAATAAAAATCCATTTAAATTACAGGTAGTAATGCAACAAAATAGGAAAAACGCCAAGGGGGATGAATACTTTTGCAAGGCACTGTAGTTTGATAACTGCTGAACACTGTAAAATACTATATTATTACCTCATAAATGTATTTATTTGACATCAATTTATATTGGAGAATAAAACCAAATCATATATATGTGGCTGTAAATACTACATCATCATTCTCTATCAGCCAGTGTGCTTCAATAGGACAACGTGGAAAGAGTCACTCTATATGTGCTACCATTTAGAATTATAGTGTAGTGTACAATGCACTGCTGAAATACCTGGATTGTATATAACAACATATTCCACTCATTATCTGAATTTCATTGATACACTGTAAGCTGATGAATTTCGAAGTAGAGAGACAGGCGATACTGTATCGCTTGACAAGTCACGTAGAAAAGGTGATCTTGTACAATATTGCATGGGGCAGAAATTGCATTCGTGCTACGTGCTACGTTTTTACAATGGCCAACTGCTTTACAATACCCCTATTTGTATTTTGTTATTTTTTGTTGGTGGGTTACTTAAGCAATAAGGCACGAGAGGGTGTGGTATATGGCCAGTATACCACGGCTAAGGGCTGTTCTTATGCACAACGCAATGCGGAGTGCCTGGATACAGCCCTTAGCCGTGGTATATTGGCCATATACCACAAACCCTGAGGTGCCTTATTGCTATTATTAACTGGTTACTAACGTAATTAGAGTAGTAAAAATATATGTTTTGTCATACCCGTGGTATACGGTCAAATATACCACAGCTGTCAGCCAATTAGCATTTTTCCCCTCATCAATCTATACCCAATACCTTATAATGAAAAAAGCAAAAACAGGTCTTTAGACATATTTGCAAATTTATATTTAAAAAATCTGAAATATCACATTTACATAAGTATTCAGACCCTTTACTCAGTACTTTGTTGAAGCACCTTTGGCAGCAATTACAGCCTCGAGTCTTCTTGGGTATGACGCTGCAAGCTTGGCACACCTGTATTTTGGGAGCTTCTCTCATTCTTCTCTGCAGATCCTCTCAAGCTCTGTCAGGTTGGATGGGGAGCGTTGCTGCACAGCTATATTCAGGTCTCTCCAGAGATGTTAGATCGGGTTCAAGTCCGGGCTCTGGCTGGGCCAATCAAGGACATTCAGAGACTTGTCCCGAAGCCACTCCTGCGTTGTCTTGGTTGTGTGCTTAGGGTCATTGTCCTTGTGGAAGGTGAACCTTCGCCCCAGTCTGAGGTC